GGGAAAACCACATTTACCCAGGGCCTTCTTGATGTGCTGTTCTTCTGCCTCCCTTGCCACTGTGTCAGTGGGAATGGTGTTCACTGTGTTGTAGCGTCCTAATAACACCCAGTTTGTGCTCCAGTGGATGATGAGAGTCAAACCTTAGATACTGATCCGTATGCGTAGGTTTACGGTACACGTCAGCTTTTAGATGTCCCCCATTACTGATGGAAATCTCACAGTCTAAGAAGGCTAACCTGCCACTTTTCATATCCTCCCTGGTGAATTTGATGTGTTAATCCACAGTTAATGTGTTCCGTGAATTGTGGTACGTCCTGAGATTTAATTTTCACCCAGGTGTCATCCACATATCTGAACCAATGGCTTGGTGGTGTTCCAGGGTAGGATAGCAAAGCTCTCTTTTCCACTTCTCCCATGCACAAATTGGCCACGATGGGTGAAACTGGAGAGCCCATGGCACACCCATGTTTCTGCCTGTAGAACTGACCCTTGTATGTGAAGCAGGTGGAATGAAGACACAGTTCCAAAAGCAAACACACTTGGTCGATGCTGAGAGTGGTCCTGTTGCTGAGGTCGGTGTCATCCTGTAATCTCTTATGGACTACCTCCAACGCTTCCATGACTGGGATGCAAGTGAAGAGAGATGTAATGTCATACGAGACCACTCTGCAGTCTATTTACACCTACAGGCCAGTGGACTTGGGGATTGGGGAAACCTGCAGTCAGCTGAGACTGAAAAAGTCACTTGGTTGAGTGACGAAACGTTTCTCCCACAAAACGCTACGTCCAGATGAACAGAATCAACTTTTGGAGATGTGTCTTGTCATGTTTTCCTGTTTATTTTGAAAGTCCAGTTTTCATGTCGTTGTGTTTTAGTTTACATTTCCTGTGCATCGTTATGTTCATCCTAGTCAGCTGTTTCCTCATGTGTCTCCACTTCCCCTGATCACCTCATGTGTGTATTTAAGTCCTTTATCTCTAACTGTTTATTGTCAGGACGTCTGCCAATTTCCCTCATGTCATCTAGTCACAGTCATAGTTCCTGTAACAGTCATAGTTTTACCTTTTGTTATCATGGTCAGTCATAGGTTCGTCATAGTTTATCATAGTTATGCTTGGTGTTTCATAGTTTCATGTTTTCAGCCGAAATAAAAGCTCGCCTTCAGTTTGCAAACCATCTCCTTGCCTCCAGTGTCTGCTTTTGGGTCCGCTCCAACAAACACACCGGCGCACCCCGCTGTGACAAAGATAATTATAGTTATTAATATTTTAGTAGAAGTAGTGGTATTTTCTTCCTAATTAGAGGAAGTGGTGTAAATTCCAGTCCATTTATAGATCTTTTGGGATGTTTTCGCATTATTTATACTCTTTGCTAGTGTTATTACATTCTGGAATTTATTATTTAAATTATGCTACTAGCAACCATTACTAGCCCCAATTTTGTATATCTGAGCTGAGTGTGTCACAATAGGATAGGTTGTTTATCTCATATTGCTAAGGTGTTATTGAAGCCCAGGTCACTTTTGATTTTTGGCTCAGATGTCCTTCCTCTGGACAATGCCCCACAGATTCTCTATGGGCTTCAGGTCATAGAGGCGGATTGGCTGGCCAGTCAAGCACTTGGTAGTAATTTTGACACATTTTTGTCTGTTTTATATTTGTCTGTGTTTTAAAATCTATCAGTTGAGCCCTTGGATACAGGATTTGCTGAATTACATTATTTTCTGCTTCCACGATTACAACCATATTCTTCAAATTTGTCCCTTCGTTTCATGATGGTCCATCAGCCATCAGTGAATAACGAAAACATTTAATTATCCCAAACTGATGATCAGCATGCCAGTAGCAGAGTAGCAATTAAGTGGAGAAATACTAGATAGACTCTATAGAAATGTATTTCTATACCTTTGTTTCAGGGGTTGTCTAGTGTGCTCAAAGTGCCTTAGTTCCATCGTTTCTCATTGAGATGAATCCAGGTGTGGCATAACTTCAATGAAAAAACATTTTAAGCATGGCACTAACAGCAGACACTAAAGTAGACTTTGGCTAGGATTTACTCAAGTTGCAAAACAAAAGGAAAAAAAAAAGAAAATTGTCAAGTGTATTATTTCCTGGGGTAACTATTCTGCAAAAATCTTAACACTTTTGATTCTACAGTTTTTGACTGATAATATAATTAAAAAAATCACCTGAATTAAAAAGCTTGGACAGTCTATGACATGGGTAATTGTCCATATCTACAGTGGGGATTAAAATATGAATGAAAAATAAAGGCGGAGTGTTGGAAAAATTGTTGGTTAAACATATTACATTAGAACAATTTTTTTAATAGATCCTAATCTGAAAAAAGCTTTGCACCTGATCAACTTGCCTGCTTTGATAGAATGGTCAGAGCTGCAATCATCTTTCTATTATTGTCACAGATTTTATTGCTAATGTATTATCTTAGTTAATAACAACTTTTTCAGACTCCATTCTCTACATCACACATTTGTACAAGCTGTCCACGAAGATGAAGTTCCTCTGTTACAGTGATAAATCGCTAAAGCTCTTTCACTTGCTAATGCTAGCTGTGTTTCCACACAAAGGGCACAACGGAACTGACCTCAGAGCAATAAAAAGCTGAGCCAGCAGCAGCTTGTCTTGCACACTGATCTCCCATCAATTAACCGTGAAAGACCAGAGGTTTATCCACAATGTACAAGTGCAATCACCAGAAAATGCTCCTGGACTCAGATTGTCCAGAATTGAGACAGCTGCAGTTTCCTATGAACACAACCCAAGTGCAGCGTTCAGCGGCAATAGCCAACTGTGGCTACAAGATGGCAGTAATGTAAAGGATAGATGCAAACAGGTGAGAAGTTTTATGACAACACTGTTCCCACAAATGGACAGAAATTATCCAGCCTTTTCAGAAACAAACGTCCTGATTAGAACTGGATTACAAAGTACTCTCACAACAGGTCTACACCTATTGTAGCCCATGTTACATATGCTGATCAGAAGTTCCTCTTTCTGCTATATTAATGGGTGTCTTAAAGCTTACCACTGTACATCTACATTAAGAGACTCCTTTACCAGCAAGTCAGACTCCACACAAAGTCATACTTGTCATTGAGTGGGGGGTGTAGAACCCAATTTGGAATTGTTCCAGTGTGTCTATGGACAAAAGCTTAACTAAAAGGTGTTCTAAATTACCACAGATGTCATCTGCTCCACAGACATAGTGTTACTATTCTTCACACTGTCCATCAATCAGTTAATTAATCTTCTCCAATTCAGGGATACTGGGTGGCAGAGGGGGAAGTGGAGCTTACGCTACTATATGTGGAGAACATGTGAACATCACACAGAAAAGACCCAGTCAGATGGTGGATTCAAACCCAGGACCTTCTTGAAATAAGGCAACTGCACTAACCACCACATCACCATGCACATGAACTCTATGCTATGGGTTTGCTGTTACAGAAGTAGACATCTTATGCTAAGAGTCAAAATCAACAGCCTCCTATTAGTATATATATTCTTTTGTTAATAAACAGCCTTTTGTGTGACTGTGTTTTATATGGAGAGAATTGCAACGATCACATCCACGATCACAACTCTACTCAGGTTCCTGTTACTAAAACTCAAAGATTCATGTTTGTTTGAATAAAAAAACAAAAAACCACTTCATATTAATTTTCTCATTTTTGTAGTCTAAGTGCCAGTTGGTGCTGGTAAACTATATAATCCGTTTTCTGGTTTGTGTACATTTTGTGGGGGGCAGGATATATTGAAAAATAACTAATGTCACTAAGATCTCTGGACAAGTCCCAAGGGAAGGTTTGCAGTATATGCTGACTCATGAGTGCCCATATGCACTTGAAGACTTGAGAGTAGGACAGGCCCCATACATTTGGCAGGAATGAACCTCAGATTCTGTGAGTTTGCAGATTGGGATTGCGCCACTGAAGAGCAGGTGCATGCATTGAAACTTGCTGTGACGAGTTCTAATACTGCGCCAAAATAAAAAAGAAAAAAGAAAAAAGCCATGGCACCTGTGTCTCATGATTATACACATGGTTTCCTTTGGCACAGATGTCTTGATGCACCAGCATCTACAATATTAAGTCCTTGAGAGATAACTGTCGCCCTAAGATCTGAGATGGCAGGAACTAGCGCAGATTATTGGCTAGTTGGAAGGTTGGTGGTTTAATTCCTGGCTGTTGCTCCAGGATGCATGCCAAAGCATCCTTTGGCAAGATACTAAACCATGTAACTGTGTGCAAATGTTAAATATGAGGCATAGAAAAAAGTGATTTTGTGAATGAGGCATGTTGTTTAAAGAGTGCTTCGGTGGAGTAGAAAAGCCCTACACAGGAACCAATGAATTTACCAAGACAACCTGCCATTTGGTGTTGTTGGACCTTTGCTCCCTTTAGCATGTCTATACCAATTCTAAGAAAAGGATGAATCAAGGTCATTTCTGAGAACTGCAGTCCATGTTAGTGTCCAAATACAAAGATATATCAAGAAATATCTTTATGCACTTCTCAAGGTCCATTTAAATTGTCGAGGATTTTGGCAATATGAATGTGAATAACTGGACAACTTACAAAGACATGCTTTAAAAAAAAAACATCAGGGAGGTCTGTGCTGAATGATCCATTTACACCACCATGCCTGGCTTGCACAAACCACTCAGCGTGAAGCACTGCACAAGTTGGGTTTTCCCCATTCATGAAGCTAACACTGACTCATTTCTCCAAGTGCTGCTGGTCATTCAGCCACCTGCAGGAGCATTTTACAAATATCATGTTGCCTCCGCGGTTCCCCCCCAAAAAACGGGTCACCCCTCTCCTCCCTCCCTCCACATCCATCCTTCCTCTTCAACCCCGCCACATGGTTACAGTTAAGTACATAAATCAGGCGCCACCGCTGGTGTGAGAGCTGTAGAGGCAGACAGAAGGCATACACACACATACTCACACACACATGCACATCCCACTGCCGCGGCTCGTCGCTGCTACTGCAGCCGGTGCAGAGCAGGAGACTCGCAGCATTCTCTCCATCACACGCAGGCGGAATGGCTTGAGATCAGACATCGTGGACTCGTCTCGTTCGGCTCACGCACTATGATTTTGTGACTGTCTGAGTATGCGTGCGTGTGTGTGCGTGTATGCGCGCGCGCGCGCGCATGTTAGCCCGCCTTGCCGCGAATTGCTGCAGTGCTGTTTTCCAGGTGTGCGAGTGCGTGTGTGTGAGAGTGTGTAAGCGTGTGTGCGTGTAAGAGTGTGTGCATGGTGTTGTAGCCTGGTGTAATTCTCTTACGAATTGTACTAAGCCGGGGAACGGAGTCTGATGTCACATGTGCTTCATCGGAGGAGACGGGGCATCTGCAAGCTGGATTTTGTGGAGGATGCTGCGGCAAGTGATACACAGAGGGCTCAAGGCTTCGTTCTACTGGCTGGGCTTATTCGTTAGCAGACATCCCGTTTTCTTCCTCACCGTCCCTGCGGTGCTCACCATCATTTTCGGATCTACAGTGCTGAGCCGATTCAAGCCGGAGACGGACCTGGAGGTACTGGTCGCCCCGACTCACAGCCTCGCCAAGATCGAGCGGAGTCTCGCTAACAGCTTGTTTCAAATCGACCAGTCAAAGCACAAGCTGTACTCGGATTTGCACACCCCGGGCAGATATGGCAGGCTGATCCTGCTCGCCAAGTCCGGGGGGAACATCCTGGAGCTGGCCGATCAGGTCCTGCAGGTCCACAAGCAGGTGTTGGATTTGCGCGTCAATTACAAGGGATTCAATTTCACGTTCGCGCACCTCTGCGTCTTGAGCCACAGGGACAAGCGCTGCCTACTGGATGATATCATCACCATCTTCGAAGACATCAGGCAGGCTGTGCTTTCCAACAGCACTTTCCACAAGGTGCCCATTAGTTATCCGAACACAACATTAAAGGTGAGGTTTTTTTTTTTCTCTCTTTCTCCCTCTCAGCCAGGCCCTTCACGTGCGCATACACGCTCCCCAAACCCATCTCCATCAGAGCAGCAGCCCCAGCAGTCAGCATGTGAAGCTCTGAGGCTGGCCTTCAGAGCTTGTTCTGAATGAACAGAAAACACTTGTATACCAGACTGTAATTTGGGGCTGCACAGTGCATAATATATCAGCCAGCGAAGGGGAAGCCTCTCCATAATACACACACAGCCGGCTTTTTCACCCTCCCTTTTTGGTGCAGGTGAATTGATTGGCTGCATGCTGCTTGCCCTGATCTGCTCCTCCACCTTCACTCACATCACACACACACACACACACACACACACACACACACACACACACACACACACACACACAGGGATATCCTATGACTTTTTTTTTGATGCAGTGTCTCCCTCCTGGCTGCACAATCATTGGCCACAGTAGCTATGGCCTTACAGGTATCCCATCTTGGTTGCCTGTAGCTTCATCTGTACTGGATCTGCAGCTGTATTTATTACAGGCCACCCACCACAACATAAAAAAATAATTCTAGATGCAACATGTAGACATTAAGGTATATTGGAGCTCAGAAGGCTCACATATATATGAGCTGCAAATCTGCTGCACTCTTGCATGATTTTCAATAAGGAATATTCATTTCCATTTGTTGTTGATAGAGATTAGCACACTTTGCAGTATTGTCACTCCACAAGGCAGGCAGTGGAGTGCATTGTCGGTTCAAAGTATAGACTGGATATAAAAGATGGACAGATCACTCTGACATCATCCATTAGTTAGCAAATGACTTGTTGTAAACATTCAAGCTGAGCGTTTTGGTTGTCAACATTAGTGACATCTTAGTGTTTTGAAACTGGTAATGACAAGTCAGCATTAGTATTATGGCCACAACCATGCTAATCAGCTAATGCTAGCTTTGTTAGCAAGCCATATCAATAAACATAACTACTGCGATGCACAGACATAGAAAATGCTAATTAACACTAAATAATAGACTAATTCTGAAATTTCATTAAAACTGAAGACTTTGGCTTTGAGTATTTGTCAGGTAAAAATCTCTATAACAGCACAGACATGGTGGAGGGGTCTATCTCTGGTGAAGCATTCTCCCTAAATATTGGACTTCGAATAGATGTGTAGGTCATATCTATATTGGCTCTGTTGGTCCATGATCAATTCTGGACATCTATATGGCGTCCAAACTAGGTTCACAATTTGGACGTCCAACCATGGCCTATCTTGGACATGAATATGATGTTCAGCATTTGAACTTTACAACTGGGTAATTTTTTTGGAGGTCATGGGGATGTCTATGGCGGGTGCAAGAAATTTACATTGTTAGTAAATGTTATATTTTTTTTATTTACAAATATCAGTATTGTGTTATCAACATGATATGCATGAATACAAATTATTTATAAACAAACACAATCTATTATGTGTTAGTCTATTGATTTATTCAGTACCTTTTTTTTGTTATTTTACATATTCCTGTTTTTTTTAACTGGTTTATCTGCTTCAAGTAAACAATTTAATTGTTTGTAACCAGGTTAAATCTGTCATATCTGTGATTCCTGAGATTAGGGACAAAACAGGTTTTAATTTTCTAGGTTTTTGTCAACACCGTCAGACACAAAGAAATGCAAAAATATATATTTTAAATTAAGTTGTTTCAGCTATTTTGACTATTAGCAGCTTCTCTGTTCTATTGTTTATGCACATATGTTTTCAAAGTAATTATACCACATTTAAAAGTAAGATTGTTTTGGCTTTTTATTATTAGAGTTACAGTCATACATATTTTCAGAAGCTTGTATTTAATCTGTATAAGAAACAATCATATTAAGCAGCATGCAAATTACACATTTATTGAGAAAATTACGTATTTTTATTGGAAGATCATGAGGGAGGAAAATATATGGTTCTCCAAAAGAGAAAAATAAACAAAAACTCCATATTATGGAGTTGACAAGGTGCTGACGGTGGTGACACAAATCTGACGGTGGTGACACACTAGTAGAAAACAAGATATTATTTCTTTCAAAATGACAATTAAACCTTAACAACCTTTGTAATATCACAAGACACATCATAACAATTCTGTTTTTGCACATGTCAAGTTCTACATCTTAATAGTTCACCAGCAAGTAGCTACCTACTACTCCTTGATTCCTAAAGTTCTCTGTGGTTGTGTGTTTAGACCCTGCTGGACTTTCTCTCCTTTTGACTCTCTGTGCTTGTTTCCAAAACCTTCTCTTCTGACTTTCTTCTCTTCCTTTCAGATCACTGGTGTTCTTTATTTTTCCCTCTTTCACTCTATTTCTCCATCTTTCCCTTTCCTTTATGAGAAACTCTTTCTTCAATTCAGGCTGGCTGTTAATTTTTTTCTCTCTTTCTTTTTTGATCATCCCTGTTCCTTCTCTTTCGTTCCTCTGCTGACAGGTTCCCCTTTGCTATTCTAGCCTGAAATGTACCATTTTTTTAATTACTATAATTCTTCTGAACCTTATGCTTTTTCACAGATTAAGGATGAATATTCACAACACAATTATGCATTAAGCAATAGAAATGCTATCCAGCCATTAAGTTTGATGTCATTAGCCATTTCCAGGTCCAAACTCCGCTGCAGATCCCAAAGTCAAAGGAACTCTGCGGCATCACTGAGAGTTACAAACTGTCTAAATTCTTTCATCTTTAATAAAATGATCAGTGTGTGGCTCTACCAGGTGTAACATCCAGGCATCCATGAAGACAGAATATATGAAATTTAACATAGTTTAATTAGATTGCTTGTTTCCACCTGAACATGATATACCAGCTCTGCTACCACTTCCAACATAAATGGAGACAAAAAACTAAACAGCAGTGACTATTGTCAGGATACTGAAGTTGGGCTAGCTGGTATATAGTGATGTGCTACGTGATCGCTAGCGACACAGCTGTGTTAGCATAATATAAACACAGTGAAGCTGGAGGATGAATGCTAACTTTTTTCCACTTGATAAAAGTTAACATGAGGGTTCCCGATGGTTAGGCTGACAGTGATCACTGGCTGTTTTTAGGGGCTTGTTCAGATGTAATAGAACAAGATAAAAAGCATTAAAACATTTTAACAGCACAACAGGCTTAATAAACACAGAGTAGTTTGGGCCCGGAAGCAGGATTCATACATCATCACTTAAAGAACAGCTCTCGGGTCACAGCTAGCTCAGTAGATGGCACATGATCGAAAGGTTGGGCGTTCAAATCCAACGAACAGAGGCTATCCTGGATTGGTAGCTGCCCACTGAATCACTGAGTGAATGGGTTAAATGCAGAGGACTAAGCATTTTCTACGGAAGCGTAGAGCTGCCATCCAGGCAAAACAAAAATAGAAGTGTATCATGTTATAACGTGAAAAGTTTATTGTTCTAACACGATACTTTTCCTGTTTGTACAATATACTATCATGTTTGTACAATATACTTTTCACGTTTGAACAACATAATATCACGTTATTACAATATACATAATCATCACGTTCGTACAATATAATTATCACGTTCGTACAATATAAATACTATATTGTACGAATGTGATAATTATATTGTTTGAACAATAAAGTTTTCACGTTATAACATATATTTTATTGTTCGAGCATGATATATTGCCGTAAAACTACGGAAGCGTAAAACATAGTGAAGTGGGTGACAGTGCAGATCA